AACAAGATTGAATACATAGGTTCGAGAACATTCCAAGATCTCGGTGCATTAGAAAGTTTGTAAGTGTTCTTAAAACTGTGCCAATTGATGGTGGAAATCTTAAGTTAGAGATAAAAAAGCAGAGACCATCAATAGCCTACCCTGGAAATTCATTTAGATTGCTCTGAAGATGTTGTATTGTAAACAACGAAACTTTTACTTTTATTATGTTTGGTTTTAAAGATATTTGCTGCCCTCTGTTCTTAAAACGTTAAGTTTGTTGTGATGTATTAAGCCACATTCTTATAGTTTGGTATGGTACATAACAACGTCTCCATCTTTCGTTAAGATTTTTATCCCACAACAAAATTCAAACCCTACGAAAAGGAACATTTTCTGAATTGTCCAAATTGAATAGAGTGTAAGTGAAATCGTTTTGGTACGAATATTAAACCACACTGTAACACAATCAAAAGCATTGTCCATATGGTGAACTGTTCAATGTTTTGCTGATGTTACTCTGAGTGTCTCCACAGTCCACACCGGGCAAGCTGAAAAATTGTTTTACCACGATGGGAATTGCACCTGCACGCTTTGGTTTGCTAGCCCAAGATTTAAGACCCTGCTTAGATATTTTGTGACTGCAAATTATATATTTCATAACGTTTTAAATCTTTTAATAATAGACAATTCCCATTATAGACTAATTTTAAAACTAGGCAAGGAGATGAAAATAAATCACCACAGCTAGAAAGAGCATACTAAAATGAGTAAAATTGCAAAGTTTGGTTGCGAAATGTTGTAAAATGCGGAAATTATAGCCTTGCAAAGTTTGCAAATTTTGTATACTCTTGTATTGCGTGCGGAAATTGCTACCATTTTCGGCCAAAATGTGGTAGCAATTTCCGCACGCAATACAAAAGTATACAAAATTTGCGAACTTTGCAAGACTATATTGCCAAGATAAAAAATTAGTCTTTTATGGGAATTGTCTATCGTTGTTTGTCAATTTTTCTTGCAGACTTTTAGAACGCAATCCACTCCACTGCACTTGCGATTTACTGTGGCTCTCTCGTTTTCTACGTAAACTTAAGCAAATCAACAGCACAAAGAAATCAACGTGTTCCACGCCATCCCACCTCGAGCACCGTACCCTCGTCTCGCTTACGCCTGAAGATCTAAACTGCAGCGAACCCAAGTTCATTAAAATTCCGTTGGACATCGTGATTAGTTTCAGACCTCCGAGTCGCGCGTACTTCTATTGTCAGGCCAGCGGTCATCCGACGCCAACGATCACGTGGTTAAAGAATCGTGTGCAGTTAGACACGGACGAACATTATGTCATCCTGGACGATGGAACTTTAGAAATTCACCAGCCAGGCAAAGATGACGAGGCCACCTATCATTGTCTAGCGCGAAACTCCGCTGGACAGAAAGTGTCAGGCGCACGTTTGATGTATTACGAGGAAGAAGGTACTACCAGTCGGTCTAGTCCTAAAGCGCCACCGCATAGTATTTTTCAAGCTTTCCAAATTCACTAGATGACTCCCACTGGACCTCTAGGGAGAACAGTTAAGAACTGATATAAATAAAGTTAGTTTAGTTTAGGTTTCCTCCTGTAGTAACACTAGATCAATATGAGATGATCCTTACTGGACCTCTAGAGAGAACAGTTTAGAACTGATAGAGCTATCCAGTATAAATAAAGTTAGTTTAGTTTAGGTTTCCTCCTGTAGTAACACTGGATCAATAAGAGATGGTCCTTACTGGACCTCTAGAGAGAACAGTTTATAACTGATAGAGCTATCCAGTATAAGTAAAGTTAGTTTAGTTTAGGTTTCCTCCTGTAGTAACACTGGATCAATAAGAGATGGTCCTTACTGGACCTCTAGAGAGAACAGTTTAGAACTGATAGACCTATCCAGTATAAATAAAGTTAGTTTAGTTTAGGTTTCCTCCTGTAGTAACACTGGATCAATAAGAGATGATCCTTACTGGACCTCTAGAGAGAACAGTTTATAACTGATAGAGCTATCCATTATAAATAAAGTTAGTTTAGTTTAGGTTTCTTCCTGTAGTAACACTGGAGCCGTGGAGGAACATGGGAAGAACAGTTAAAGACTGATATCCAGTATAAATGAAGGGTGTGCGGTTTCGGGACTGTGCCAAATGACTGTCCTATGCAGTGCCAACTAATATTATACTATAGTATTTTGTTGTTTGTAATAATAGACGATCTTTAATTTTATCCACAGTTGCTCCTAAGTTCATCGACACCCCAGAGGACACTCAAGTGGTGGAAGGCAATGCCGTGATGTTGAAATGTTCCTCGCAAGGCATCCCAAACCCTACGATCACCTGGAGTCGCAACAGTCATCGTCTGACCCCGTCACGACGCATTCGTATCTTGAAGTCAGGAGCATTGCAAATTTCTGAAGCAAGGAGACGAGATCACGGACAGTACACGTGCCGAGCTCAGAATAAAGTGGGGTATATCACGAGGTCTGCTAGACTGGTCATCAAAAGTAAGTCTATCAAGTTCTATTAATTTTATGCTGTTCTGAATAGCTCTGTCAGTTCTAAAAGATCCAATACACAAGTAACAAACCTGCAGCAGACTTGTAGCAATGCTGTTCCAACAATTTGTCAACAGGATGTGTTCGTTCGCACTGCTTGTTCTCAGCCTGTTGGCAACTCGCTACAAGGTTGTTTAGCTCAACAGACTTGTTATAAGTCGTTCCAACAACTTGTTATCGTCCTGCAATTTAACAATTTGTCAACAAGTTGCGAGTGACAACCTTGTAGCAACTTGATAAAATACCAGCGATTGTTACAACTTGTTGACAAGCTTGCTACAAGCCTGTTGCGAACACATTTTGTTGACAAGTTGTGAGATTTTGACGTGTGTATGTCTCACGCTTTGCTTAGCACTGAGTTGCAGCTAAAGATGATCAGCACACCCCCATGTGCCCAGGGGGTAAGGGTCAACTGAGTTGTAAAAGCTTAAGGCTTTTTGTCCACTTGAGAAAAATCAACACATTAAACAAATCCAAAAACTTGCATCAATATTTATTTTCTAGCAACTCCTGTGTTCAGCTTGAAACCTGCGGCAGTAACGGAGGTAGTTGAAGGCACATCAGCCTCGCTTTCATGTCGTGCAGATGGTTACCCTACGCCCGCTATGACTTGGTTCAAGGACGGAACACGATTGCCTTCCGAAGAACGTCACGTGATCTTGACAACTGGAAGTCTGAGGATATTACTGGTACAAACACGTGACCAGGGCATGTACACATGTCAAGCTATTAACGTGATTGGTGTACGAACCGCGCGATCCAGGCTCGTCGTGAAGCCGAAAGGTACAGAGTTTTACAGTTTATGTTTCGAAACATGGTGGTCCAGTGTGGGTAGTATTTTACAATAAGCTGCCTTGGTTTTTGTATGAACTACTTGAAAAAGATATCTTAAACGTGGTGGTTCTGTGTAGGTAGTATTCTACAATAAGCTGCCTTGGTTTTTGTATGAACTACTTGAAAAAGATATCTTAAACGTGGTGGTTCTGTGTAGGTAGTATTCTACAATAAGCTGCCTTGGTTTTTGTATGAACTACTTGAAAAAGATATCTTAAACGTGGTGGTTCTGTGTAGGTAGTATTCTACAATAAGCTGCCTTGGTTTTTGTATGAACTACTTGAAAAAGATATCTTAAACGTGGTGGTTCTGTGTAGGTAGTATTCTACAATAAGCTGCCTTGGTTTTTGTATGAACTACTTGAAAAAGATATCTTAAACGTGGTGGTTCTGTGTAGGTAGTATTCTACAATAAGCTGCCTTGGTTTTTGTATGAACTACTTGAAAAAGATATCTTAAACGTGGTGGTTCTGTGTAGGTAGTATTCTACAATAAGCTGCCTTGGTTTTTGTATGAACTACTTGAAAAAGATATCTTAAACGTGGTGGTTCTGTGTAGGTAGTATTCTACAATAAGCTGCCTTGGTTTTTGTATGAACTACTTGAAAAAGATATCTT